CATTCATCTTCAACTCACCATGTGCCCTCTATCTACCTATCTATCTATCTATCTACATACATACATACATACATATAATTTTTCCCTCCAACTACCCTAATATTGACAAAGGTCTCATGAGTTACAAATATCATCTTTCTATGCAGGAATGTAAACAGCTCAACCTTAATAATTCCCTTATGATTTCTCTTTCCTGTTTACCTCTTCATGTTTCTCTTGAGTCTTGTATTTGAAAGTCAAATTTTCTATTCAGCTCTGGTTTTTTCATCAAGAATGCTTGAAAGTCCTTTATTTCACTGAATGTCCATTTTTCCCCCTGAAGGATTATACTCAGTTTTGCTGGGTAGGTGATTCTTGGTTGTAATCCTAGCTTCTTTGCCCTGTGGAATATCATATTCCAAGCCCTCTGGTCCCTTAATGTAGAAGCTGTTAAATCGTGTGTTATCCTGATTGTGTTTCCACAATACTTGAATTCTTTCTTTCTGGCTGCTTGCAATATTTTCTCCTTGACCTGGGAACTCTGGAATTTGGCTACAATATTCCTAGGAGTTTTCCTTTGGGGATCTCTTTCAGGAGGTGATCAGTGGATTCTTTCCAGTTCTATTTTATTCTCTGGTTCTAGAATATCAGGGCAGTTTTCCTGGATAATTTCTTGAAAGATGATGTCTAGGCTCTTTTTTTGATCGTGGTTTTCAAACAGTCCAATAATTTTTAAGTTATCTCTCCTGGATCTATTTTTCAGGTCAGTTGTTTTTCCAATGAAATATTTCACATTGTCTTCTATTTTTTCATTCTTCTGATTTTGTTTTACAATGTCTTGATTTCTCATAAAGTCACTAGCTTCTAATTGCTCCATCCTAATTTTTAAGAAGTATTTTCTTCAGTGAGCTTTTGGACTTCCTTTTCCATTTGGCCAATTCTGCTTTTTAAGGCATTCTTCTCCTCACTGGCTTTTTGGATGTCTTTTGCCATTTGGGGTAGCTTATTTTTTAAGGTGTTATTTTCTTCAGCATTTTTTGAGATCTCCTTCAGCAAGCTGTTGACTAGTTTTTCATGATTTTGCATCACTCTCATTTGTCTTTCCAGTTTTTCCTCTACTTCTCTTACTTGCTTCTCAAAATCCTTTTTGAGCCCTTCCATTACCTAGAACTGATAGATATTTTTCTTGGAGGCTTTGGATGTAGGACTTTGTTGACTTTGTTGTCTTCTTCTGGTCGTATGTTTTGATCTTCTTTGTCACCAAAATAAGATTCTATAGTCTGAGTTTTTTTTCCCCCTCACTTTCCTCATGATCGCAGCCAATTACTCAAGTTATAAACTCTTTGTTAAGGAAGGGGTCTGCTTCAAATGTGGAGAATGTACTGTCCCAAACTTCAGGGGTTTTGTGCAGCTGTTTTCAGAGATACTTCTAGGGAGCTGTAAGTTTTCAGTTCTCCCAAGGTGGTATGATCAAGGGTGAGCTGTTTACTCCTTTCCTGGCCTTTGCTCTGGTCTATGAGTGACCACAAGCACTCTTTTCTGCCTTGGAACTGTGAGGAGGATTCCCTCTCCACTGCCACTATAAGCTCCACCACACCACACTCCCCCTCGCCCTAGGACCGCCACCCAGAACTGTGATCCAGATCCAACCACAGGCAAAGCAAGAGAATCCTGCCTCAGCACCAGCAAAAGATGCCTGCAATCTCCCTTTGATTAACCACTCGAGATTCCCTCTCAGTCTGTGGGCCAGAAACTCTGAAAGCAGTTGCTGTCCTGGGGCTGCAGCCTGAGCTGGAACTGGGACCACGCTTCTCTCTCACTGCAGTCACAAACTTTTCCTACTGACCTTCTAAGTTGTCTTTGGTGTTTGTGGGTTTAAGTCTGGAAACCACCACAGCTGCCCATGATTCAGTCTGCTGAGGCCCGCTCCAGGTTCTCTAAGGCCTATTTTGCCTGCGTGCCCACCCCGAACCGCGTTCCTCTCCCAACTAGGCAAGATAGACCTTTTTAATTATCCATCCAGGTTGTCTTGGGATGGAAATTTGTTTCACTCTGTCTTTTTGTGGGTTCTGCTGCTGTAGAATTTGTTTAGAGCCATTTTTTTTCCAGGTATTTAGAGAGATTTGGGGGAGAGCTCTAGCAAGCCACTGTTTTCACTCTGCCATCTTGGCTCCGTCCCCGAACAATCTCTTAACTGCCAGATCCAATAGTCTTTTCTCATTTCTCATTCTACTTGATCCCTGTCCCCCACTCTCTATTCTTTATCTACCCATGTAAGCACTCTTTTTCAGTTTCCTTTGCTAGAACATCTGCTATGTGCAGGTGATTCAAAGGCTCCCTACTAGACTCTTGTCTTTCTACTCTCTCCCCTTTTGATCTCATGAGCTCGGATAGGTTCAAGTATCTTCTCTATAGATTTTGGCTATAAAAATCTATAAATCCAGTCATAACTTCTCTCCTGAACTCCAGTCATCTATTACTAACTACCCACTGGACATCTCCAATTTCCTCTCTCACAGGAAGCTAGAATTTGTCATTTTCAAAATCAAATTCATCTAACTGCTCCCCAAATCATTCTTCTAATCACCCAGTTTTAGCACCTTGGAGTCTAACATTCCATCTCTTGTCTCCACGTCTTTGCACAAGTGGTCCCCCATATTTAGAATGTACCCTTTCCTCATCTCTGTCTCATATAATCACTAGCATTTTTCAAAGCTCAATTTAGGTACTGAATGCCACATCAGGCCTTTTCTGATCTTTCTAGATATTAGCACCTTGTCTTTGACATTACCTTGCATTACTGAATATATTCCTCAAGTGTAGGGACTATTTCACTTTTTCTTTATCTCTATATCTCTATATTTTATCACAATGTAAGCAATTAGTCAATCTTTAATCAAAATGAATTGGAGAATTGCCCACAAAGATTAAATTACAGTTCCAAATCTCCTTGAAAGAGAAAATACTAATGATATCTATCTTACAAAGTTATTAAAGTTTTGAGTTATGAAACTCAAATGAGATAATTTATGCATAGTGCTTCTGAAACCTTAAGATAAGAGATGAATGTTAACTATTACTACTATTATTCCCTGACCCTCTCCACATCTTTCTCTGTAGTATTGTGTTGGAAGAAGTTAAACAGAGTTGTCTATACTGAGTTGTCTCATAATCTGAATTTCAAAACTGTCCCAGATCACTCCATTCCAGAGTAATCTCTCCTTTATCAGAAACATTTTTTACTGGTACCAATCGGCAACTGTACATAACAATTAATCCTCTCATACTACCTTATTAATTCTCTCATCCTGTTTAACTTTCATGTGCTTCTTTCCAATAAGCATGTATGTGCCATGAAAAAGAAACTGTCTTACCCTTCTGGTACTCAACCAATATACCTAAGAACTGCTTTGAATGTAGTAAACTCACTTATTATTTGTTACTACTTCAAAGGTCTGCCTCAGGCTACCCTACCCAAATGACAGACAGACAGAGAGACAGACAGACACACACAGAGATATAATTCCCATTTCCTGAGCTAAAACATGGAACATAATTGAAAAATCTACAGAACAGGGGCAGCTTGGTGGTACAGTGGATAGAGCACTGGCCCTGGAATCAGGAGGACCTGAGTTCAAATCCAGCCTCAGACCAGATACTTCACACTTACTAGTTGCGTGACCCTGGGGAAGTCACTTAACCCCATTGCCTAGCAAAAACAAAACAAAACAAAACAAAACAACAAAAAAAGAAAATCTACAGAACAGAGAAGGCAGTGGGATACAATATAAATCCTTCAATCAGGCATCTAAGGACCTCCACAACCTAGTTCTTACGTACTCTTCCAGCTTTAACTCATGCTGGTACATACCATGAAATCTAGTCTAGCCAAACAGAAATATTAGCACCTTTCTAGCCTATTACTAAATTGATCTTCCATCTCCCCTGATTCCCATTCCTTGAATATACTTCCTCTTCATTTCTGAGAATCCTTGAATTACCTCAAGATTCAACTTAGGTACCATCTCCTTTGAAAAGTCTTTAGTGACTCCACCAGTTTGTCCTCTCTCCCTCAATTTAACTTTTATTATACATGGACGCATATTGCATGCAGAGAGTAGAAAGTAGGCACCATGAAGGCAAGGACAGTTATTTTTCTCATTGTACAATCAGAGCCTACCATTATGAATTGCACATAGCAAACAATTATTGAATTAAAAATGATGATTTCTTTTTCAGAAGGAAATAAATTAGATAGTCAGACAAAGTAAACAAAAAAGATATGAACAGATTTTTTAAAAAACATTTTTTTCAAAGGCTCCATCAACAGCCTTTAAAAAGCCTCCTTCATTCCACGCCCTCATCTCCCTTGATGCCTCAACTCTGCACCTTATTAAAGCCAGTAAAAGCAACAGAAAAAAAAAGGGGGGTGAGGACATGCAAAAAAGAGGGGAAGGGAGCCATGAAGATGGGAAAATTCAAGAAAAAATCTCTAGTTGCAGATTCCTAAATGGCTTAACTCTAAATATTCTACTCCTTGTCCAGTTCAAAGCTGTTCCAACAAAACACACTGAAATTATAACACATAATTATGTAACTGTGAAGTGTTGAGAATAAAGATACAATGGTAGGTTATCCTAGCCACTGAAACCTTTGAGGAACCTGAGAAACTCTGGAAAAAGTTCCAGCCAAATTCTACTTTCCTTTCCTCTCACTCACTCCAAGCACCTGAGCTTAAAAATAAATAAAATAAAACAAAAATTAACTACCTTTAAACTCAAAGTTGGATGAACTGGATGAAGACAAAGGAGAAAAAGGTACAAAATAAATACTTTTGTCTCTTATTTGGAAGCTAGAAACTGGCATAGTTTAGGTTTGTTACTATTGCTTAAAACAATTAGGAGATACAAGAAATGTGAAATCTAAATGCTATAGATGATTACAATCAACAACTATCAAAAGCACTACTTAGTCTAGGGTATAAATGTTTCATAAGTATTTTTTTTTAAATCACAACTTACCTCTCAAACCATGCTTTTATACTCTGGGCAAACGGTTCAGTGGGATACATTTGGTTGTGTTTTAGATATAAAAGGATGTCTAAGAGTCTTCCTTCAAATTGATTATTCTTTACACCTTTTGCAAAGTCAAAGAAAGCTTGAAAAGTTTCCCAATTAGGAATTATTCTATGATTAAGCATTTCAAGATACAGATTCCAAGCTAAGTTCACTTCTTGGTGAAGAAGGGCTCCTTTGATACAGTCACCATAATTCTTTTTTGAAGGAGACATGATTTTTTTGATGTCTTTTAACAGGATTAGGGTCTCTCTCCACTGATCTGAATGGATTAATCCCCGGATGAGAAGAGTATAACCTTCAGGTTCTAGAGTTCTGTACCTGGTCTTCATAATTTCATAGACATCAATAACCTCTGTTGTCTGTCTCTGAGAAACACACAAAGTCAAGTACCCAATAAGTAGCTTATATCCCACATTACCATTATTTTTTCTGGCTATCCAAGACAGCAGGGATTTTGCGATATCTATAGAGGAATTATATTTGACCATCTGTGCCATCATCCAATTTTCAAAAATGTCTTTTTGTTCAAAATTTTCCTTTACTTTGTCCCATTCTTCTGAATTCAAAGGTTTTGTTGGGAGTAACACAGGGCTGCTAAAGGGAAAAGAGTGTTGTTGATCTTTCTTATATCCAAGCACCTCTGATTTCTTCTTAGCAGTTCCAGCTGAAAACAAGGGATGAGGAGAAACAGAAGACTCTTGCTTACTTTTATTCTTACCACTCTTACTACTAGATATGGCCTTGGAAATCAGCAATTTAGTTGCTTTGTTATTTTGTAGAAATGGTAAAGTAAGAGAAAAATATCTTTGCTCTTTCTTACTAAAGTGGAAGTAGGAATATAAAACAGAGAATGTTTGGTTCCTGGGACATGATCCCTGATACAGTCTGTTCTTCCAAAGCATCTGCAAACTCCGACAGAAAGACAAAAGGAGAGTCATTATCCAGGATGGAGAGAGAGAGACCCAGGGACTGACTGAACACAAGAAAACGAGGATGTTAAGAGGATCGTGAGGGGATAAAAACAGGTCAATTTTGAGAAGAGAAATGTTCAGTTTCTCAGGTTAAAGTCCTTTCTTTGTAAACAGAACCTAATATTTAACTGCAGGTGAGGGTGATTTCTCTCTAAGCACAAAAAGGCAGTTAGATCCAGTATCTAGGGCAGAGGACTCTGCTTAAAGCTAAGGTTCTTCTAGGTTCTAGAGTTCAGAGGTTCATAGGATTGTAGATTTAGTGCTGCAAGTGGCCTCAGAAGTCATCTAGTCCAACTCCTTCATTTTACAGCTGAGGAAACTGAGGTCCAGAAAGGTTAAATGACTTTCTGAAGGTCACACAATAAGTAGCAGACCACGATTTGAACTTAGGTCTCCAAATAAGAACTATTTCCTCATAAGCCAGTCAGAGAACCTAAAAATAAGAAACACATAGTAGAATATTAGCACCCCATCCAGAATCACAAATGGTATTTAAGCCAGGTAAATGACAGTAATCTTACAAAAGGCTCAAGTCAAGCACTGTAATTATACTCCTCATTTCTCTCTTGGCTGAACTACTTTCAGACTTCTCCACCAGTCCCAGGAAATTCATTACTGTGATAATCACCTTATGAGATCTCATCAACCTTGGAACTCCACCTCACCACTAATCTCAACTTTTGATTGGGGGATGGAGCCATGAATCCCAATCCTCCATTTAAGTAGAGACCTCAGCCCAGGCATCTCTGCATTCCTTATCTTTGGGACTTGTCTGACCAATTTCTCCAGTATGTACCTCCATAGGCCTCCACCCTCCATCCCTGTTTTCAGCTTCCTTTTATGTGTTGTCTTTCCCCATTAGACTGTAAGCTCCTTGAGGGTAGTGATTGTCTTCTTTGAATTTGTATCCCCAGTCCAATGCCTGGCACATAAGTGCTTAAAAAATGTTTATTGTTTATTTAAAGCTGGGGAAGCAATACAAAGTTTAGATAACAGACCTTATTTGAGAGCTTGGAGTTCAGTCTGTTGGGGGAAAAGATACATACAGAAACAATAACTAATGTTCACATAGTGCTGTAAGGTTTGCAAAGCACTTACATATATTACCTCATCTGATCCTTATAATAATCAATGCACTGAAGGAGTGTCACCTAGGGGCCCACTGGGTTGACTTTCAGACTAAAAAAAGCTATCACTTGCTGGAAATATGAGACCAGACAGGGGTTCCCCACAGTCAATCAATCAACCAGTATTTATAAAGTACCTACTACATACCAGGAACTAAGCTAAGTGCTGAAAATACAAAAAGATTTAAATAATTCCTATTTGCAAGGAAATTACATACTAAAAGGTGGGGGAGGGAGGAAAACAACACAAAAAAGGGGAAAGGGAGATAACAAGTACATGTATATGTGTATATAGGATAAATATAAAGGGAATAAACACAAAGTGTAACTACAAGATTGTTTGGGAGAGGGAATACTAGCAGTTGGATAATCAGGAAAGACTTCATAAAAAAGGTGGTTCAGGCTCCACCTTGAAGAGGAAGTATATGAGGTAGCAGTAAAGAGAGAGTACATTCCAGGTATGGGGGAAAGTAAGTACAAAGACAGAGATGGGAGATTGAGTGCTGTGTATGATGAATCGAGTGCCAGTTTGCCTGGATTGCAGAGTGCAAGAAGGGGAGTAATGTCCAATGAGGCTGGAAAGATAAGCTGGGTCAAAGCTGTAAAGGGCTCTGAAAGCTAAACAGAGTTTCTATTTGATCCTAGAGACAATAGAGAGCTAAAGGATTTTACTGGGTAGGAGTGTGATGGTCAAATAGCTTTGGTAGCAGAGTTGGAGGATGCACGGGAGCATTAAAGAGGCAGGGAGACTAGTTAGGAAGGAAGAAAACAAGCATTTAGTAAGTGCTTTACTATGTGCCAGGCACCGTGCAAAACACTTTATAAATATTATCTTATCTGATCCTTATGATAACCCTGCATTATTATCCCAATTTTACAGCTGAGGAAACTGAGACAAACAAAGGTTAAGTGAATTGCCCAGGTTCACACAGTGAGTAAGTATCTGAAGCCAGATCTGAAGTCAGGTCTACCTTACTTCAGGCCCAGTGCTCTATCCTTTGTACCATCTAGCTGTCTCAAGGCAGAAGGCCATTGGAATGAATAGCCTAGGTATGAAGGTATGAGTGGCTGAATTAAGTTAGGGACTGTTTAAGTAGAAAGAGTCAAATATGAGAAATGCTGTAGAGATAGAAATGGCAAGATTTGGCATCTGATTGGATAAATGAAGTGAGGGTGAATTAGAAGTAAAGGTTGTATTAATAACTAATTATTGAATCAGAACCAAGGTTTTTCCCTTTTTCCACTTCCTTATCCTGAAAACAACCACGGTGGGAAATCTTGCTTAAAGATTTACCCAGGCCAAGATCTACTCAAAGACAGTAAAGAGAAATCCGAAGTTTAGGCTAATGGGTGCATTCCTGTTCACTGCATTCATTCAGACAGATTTGGGAAAACACTAATTCTCCCTTCTGTCAGAGTTGATATGGAAACTGATGTCTCTGACCAAGATTTGGGTTATCCAAGTCCCATACCCAAAGACCCTCACTGTAACATGGCCCAGCCTCTCATTGTAATATTCATTCTCTCATTAATTGTTGCTAACTTTAAGGAATATCTACTCTTCCAAGGGCATATAAACTGTGAGCCTACTGCCATAAGCTTTTGGTCTAAGAGAGATGGATAAACAGACAGAGCATTATTAATAGAATAATTAAATTACCCAGAAATTATGCCACGAACTATTTTTTAAATTTTTTTTTAAATTTTTAGGCAATTGGGGTTAAGTGACTTGCCCACGGTCACACAGCTAGTGAGTGTCAAGTGTTTGGTCTGAGGCCGCATTTGAACTCAGGTCCTCCTGACCTCAGGGCTGCTGCTCTATCCACTGCACCATCTAACTGCCCCCCCCTTGAACTTTTTAAATGTTACAATAGCCATAAGAAAGTTTGGAAGAACAGGTTTAGAGGAGGAAGACAATAATGGGTTCTCTTTTGGACACACTGAATTTGAGATGTTTCCAGGATATCCAGTTTGAGATCTAATAAACCTTGGTGATATGAGACAGAAGCTGAGGGAAGAGTTTAGAACTGGAGATAGAGATCTATAAGTCATTTCCTCAGACATGCAAATCTGTTAGGGTTGATGTGGTCACCAGGGGAGAAGAGAGCCTAGGATAAAGCCTTGGGGAACACACACTAAGGGACCGTGATATTGATTATGAACCAGCAAAGACTGAGAAGTGGTTAGACAAGTGGAGGCAAACCAGGTAGCGTCATGAAAATTCACAGAAGAAAGACTATCTGCGAGTGTCAAATGAAGCAGAAAGATGAATACTGAAAAATAGACTATCAGATATAGCAATTAAGGGATCATAAGTAAGTCAAGAAAGTTAAAGTATCTAATGCATGTGTTGCCCAGCTCTGGTCACCAAAACACCCCCAAAACATTGAGACCTGAAGTACAACCAAAGAATGATAAATTTTGTTGTTGTTCTTCAGTTGTGTCCAACTTTTCATGCCCCTATTTGGGGTTTTCTTGACAAAGATATTGGAATGGTCTGCCATTTCCTTCTCCAGCTCATTTTACAGATGAGGAAACAGAGGTAAATAGGGTTAAGTGACTTGCTCAGGTTAATACAGTTAGTGTTTGAGTCCACATTTGAACTCAGGTCTTCCTGACTCTAGGCCGGGTGCTCCATGCACTTCCACATCTAGCTAAAAACTTAAAAAAGTGGCGTCAGAATTTAGGAAAAAGAGGATAGATATTCATTCATCTCATTAAATTCAGTTTTAATCACAGCTGTACCACTTACTGCAAGGTGACCTTGTAGATATCATTTCTCTTTCTTTATCTCCAAAATAAGAGGCTTGGACTAAATCTTTAGGAAGTACATCAGATTTAAAGCTGGAGGGGACTTCAAGGGTCATTTAATTCCAACACACTCCCTCACCCACCACTCCTATTTTACAGATGAGAAAAGAGGCCTAGAAAGGTTAAGGGACTTGCTTACAGTGATACATCAGATCTGGGATATGAACTAGAGTTCCAATATAAATTTATATCTCACAGTGAGAACCTATGTACCCGCTAAAGCACTCTTTCCAAAAGGAAAAGGAAAAAAAAGGCCAAACCACCACAACCCGAGGGGACTTACAATTGTTGACACCATTGGCAGACGAAGAGTGTACGCAGATGGTTACAATTTTCTATTTTCTGGCCAATTAGGTGATTTGTTTTACTTGACTATATGTACTTGTAAAAAGGCCTTTTTCTTAATTTCTTAATGGGCGCTTGGGGAGGGGAGGGAGAAGGGGGAATCTTCGTTTGAAAATAAAATAAAATTTAATTTAAAGAAAAAAAGTCAGAAACGCAGAAACTACCTTTCCCAACATGCCTTGCAATCCAATCTCAGGGCAGATGGGGTAGATCGTGGGAATTGTGGGTCACCAGGACGAAAAGAGAAACGAAAAAAATCAACTGTGTGCCATCAAGCAGCTTCAGACCCTCTTACTCCACTTCCCTAGCGAGCAGAGGCGGATAGCTGAGTCCTTCGCGTCCCCTTTCGTCCCGGCGACCCACAGTTCGCACAACCTACTTCCAACCCCAGAGAAGAGAAACTCACGGTTGAGGGGCAGGCGGCGGCGAAAACACAGCTCCCTTTGCGGAAGTTGCCGTGCGGCACGCACTCATCCCGTGGGACCTCACGTGACGATTATGGAGCTATATAGCACGAAAAAGAAAAGAGACGTCTACTCTTTAGGAGGAAATTGCGATGAGAATAGCTGACGTTCACTGCGTCGGGTTAAGAAAAAATCCATCCGCCTTCTATACTTTCTGCCTTAGAACTTGGGGAATAATGGTCTTCTCCGTTCCCTCCCCGGTCAGGCTTCCGCCCGTACCTAAGATGGACGCCGAGCGTCAACCTCCTTCTCGGCGTCTCCCTCCTTTCCCCGCCCCGCCCCGCCTCCCTGCCAAATGACTACGGTGGCCTGCGTCTGGGGCTCTGGAGACGGAGTGGCTGCGCAACCGTTAATGAAGAGCCACGGTCTGAGGCACCACGCAAGGATACATCTATGGACTGGAGAGAGATGCTTCGCAGACGGTTAGCAGCCCCACATTGTGAGTACGAGAAGTTAGGTGGACAGGGGAAGTCGGGGAGGCGGGGGGCGAGCCTGGCCGGGCCGGCCGAGGCAGCCCTGTTCTGATGGCCCTCGGTTTCCCGGAGCCGCCGGGGAAGGAAGGTGCACGGCTTGGACCCCTCGGCGCCTGCGGGTCGCGGGCTTTGGGGGACAGATTCTTTTTTGGGGAGGACCGGTGCCTCAGCTGCTGGGTGGCCGGGTGCTCGCCAGTGTCAGTAATAGGTGTACCTTGACCTTTTTCTGCCTTTCCACGACCACCTGGATAAAAACCAGTTAATTTCTACCCAGAGTCTTATGTTCCTATCCCAATGTGCCCTTTAAGCACTGCGAGCTTATGCAGAGACAGCCCGGGGAGACGTGCTCCCTTTTTTCAGGGCAGCATCCAAGGCTTGGAATACTTTGGGCACTTTTGTCGGTGCAGCTTTTTAGTACTCCTAAATGCTAGGGCCTGTAGAAAATATTAAACAGACACAGTCACCCAGGTTCACCACCCAAGTTGTCGTCCTTGGCTCCTCACTCTTTCCCTCCCTGCCAAAATCCAGTCATTTTTTAAGTCCTGTCATTTCAACTTTAATAATACTTCTAATACATACCCCTCTTCTCTCTGCTGACACTGCAACCACCCAGGTACAGGCCCTCGTTACCTCAAGTCTAGATTGCAATAGCAATCTTCTCCCTGTCTCAAGTCTCTTCCCTTATCCATTCCATCCTCCACTCAGCTGTCAAATTGATTTTACTAAATGGAAGTCTGACCCTTTTTAAAAAACTCTAAGGACTGCCTATTACTTCCAGTATTAAATTCTAAAGTTTTCTATTTAACTCTTAAAGCCCTTTATTATCTTGCCTTTTCCTACCTTTGTAGTCTTCTTACACCTTTTCTGCCTTTCATGTACTCTGCAATTCAGTGACACTGGCCTTCATAATGTTTCTTGTATATGACACTCCATCTCTCAATTCTTGAGTGTTTTTGTCCCCCTCATGCCTGGAATTCTCTCCCTTCTCTTTACTGCCCCCTGGCTTTCAGTCCTCTGCAATCTTAGTGCCTTCCTTCTGAGACTACTACCTATTTTTCCCGCTTATATATTTTTTGTATATAGTTATTTATATGTTATCTGCTTTGAAATTCCTTAGTGGTCACATATCATAGTCTATACCCTCCCCCCCACCACACTGTACCTCACCAGTTACCCTCTGAGTGTAATTAATTTTTAATATTTGGAAATTATAATATCCCAGGTGTCACTGTCACCTAGCAACACTGGTTTATGAAAGAGATTGGCTTTTGTTTCTGTGGAAAGCTTGGGGTCAAAGGAGTCCTGCAGTTTCCCAAAGGAAGTCCAACTCACTGTTCTCCCCCTTTTCAACTCTGATATGAACCTTCTTGTCCATCAGTTTGCATTTCAGGAATGGGTCTATATATTCAGTCCATCCAAATTCATGTCCTGTCCAGTCGATATTCATAAAGTGTAGGTCAGACCATGTCAGTTTGATCTGTCAAGAAGCTTCAGTGGCATCTGATTGCATTTAGAATAAAATACAATCTCCTCTTTTCTGTTTTATCTACCATGTCTCAGGAATTATTAGGAGAATCTTATCCTGTAAGATCCTATTTGGTGTTCTACTTCATCACCATCTTCTGATTGGAAGGTAGAGCCATGAACTCCAAAATCTCTGTTTAAGGAGGGAACTCAGTTCAGAATCTCGCCTCATTTCTCACATGGCTGTACAACTTTGGAACTTATCTGATTTTTCGGGTACCTTCCACAGCTCCTTCCTCCTCTTGCTTTTCAGTTTCTTTTGACATTTAAGTTCCTTTACAATCTGAATCCAAAACCTACCATTTCAGACTTTCCCATTTTTTTGTTTACCTTGCTATATACATTATGCATGTGTTTTGTTGATTCTGTCAGGTACTAGAAATGTACCTTTTTTTTAAGGCAGTTGGGATTAAGTGACTTGCCCAGGGTCACACAGCTAGTAAGTGTCAAATGTCTGGTCTGAGGTCATATTTGAACTCAGGTCCTCCTGACTCCAGGGCCGGTGCTTTATCCACTGTGTCACCTAGCTGCCCCTGAAATGTACTTTTGTTTTTATTTTATTTTATTTTTTATATATTTTTTATTTTATTTTGATTTATCAACAATCACTTCCATAAGCTTTTGACTTAAAAATTTTTCTCCCCCTTCCTCCCCAAGACGGCAGGCAATCTGATATAGGCTATGCATATACATTCCTATTAAACATAGTTTTACATTAGTAATGTTGTAAGGAAGAATTGGAACCAATAGAAAGAACCACAAGAAAGAGGAAACAAAACAGAAGAAAAAACAGGCCAAATAGTATACTTCAATCTGCATTCAAGCTCCATAGTTCTTTCTTTGGATGTGGCATTTTCCATCATGAGACCTTTGGAGATGTCTTAGATCCTTGCATTTCTGAGAACGGCTAAGTCTGTCAATGTTAGTCATCGTACAACATGGCTGTTGCTGTGTACAACATTCTTCTGGTTCTGCAGCATCAGTCCACACAAGTCTTTTCAGGTTTTTCTGACGTCTGCCTGTTCATCATTTCTTATAGCACAAAAATATTCCATTACATTCATATACCACAACTTACTCAACCACTCCCCAGTTGATGAACATCCCCTCAATTTCCAATTCTTTGCCACCACAAAAAGAGCTGCTATAAATATTTTTGTACATGTGGGTCCTTTTCCCATTTGTATGATCTCTTTTGGGATATAGCCCTAGAAGTGCTAGGGTCAAAGGGTATGCACATTTTTGTAGCCCTTTGGGCATAGTTCCAAATTGCTCTTCAGAATAGTTAGATCATTTCACAACTCCACCAGTCAATGCATTAGTGTTCCAATTTTTCTACATCTTCTCCAACATTTATCATTATCCTGTTTTGTCATGTTGACCAATCTGATAGGTGTGATGTGGTGGCTCAAAGTTGTTTTGATTTGCACGAAATGTACTTTTGATTACTCAAAAGAGATTAACTTAATCCACGTATGAAAAACTAAATGGATGAAAAATACTTGTTTTCTGGACACATAGTGGAAAGGCTACTCTATGGAATTTGTATAACAGTACAGATTCAGAGATAGGACAATGTCTAATGAGCTAGATCCAAAAATGAATTGCAAGAGGAGAGAGAAGTCTAGATTGTATTTAATATTAATAACTGATGTTTATATAGAGCTTTAAGATTTGCAGAATGTTTTATATACATTATCTGATCCTCAAAACAACCTTATTGGTTAGATAATATTAATAGGACCTAGACAAAAAATCTTGGAATGGAGGGAGCTCTGTTTAGACCACAGTTTGATTGAAATGTTTTTTGAATGAAACAAGTAAACCATTGAGATGCTATGTCATCCATGAATGAATGAATAAGGGCTTACCATGTTCAAAGCACTGCGCTTAGTACTGGAGATACAAATAGAAAAGACAGTCAAAGAGCTCACATTCTAATGGGAAGACAGAAAGTTTCAGCAGCAAATCAGATGAGAAAGTCTCATGGTTCTTAGAGTACAATGGCAAAGCATATGGTAACGGCTTTTTTTTTGTTTTAACATCCTTTCCACTGATGAAATGATATCAGTTTCTGATGTTGAACTATCTGATAGTGCCAAGGACTATAGTGGCAAGAACTCTAACCATAGCACCAGTAGGAGCAGTTGCCAGGCTTCCTTCCCCCAGGAGTTAATTCCCAGGATGATGCCTGAGACCATGGGCTTGGAGGCATTGCTATTTCCAGGGCTCGTGGGTTCAGAGTCCTGAGCTGTTTCTATCAGAATCTAAGGGGTGGTTTGACTTGCCTGGCACAAAATACCTCTGGTCTCTCCCTCAAGGTGCCTTGTTCTGTTAGCTAGACTGGCTTATCTGCTCTGTTTGTGTCAGTTGGTTGGCAGTTGGTGGGCATATTGACCCCTTCTCCACAGGAATTATCTCTCCAGATGTTGGCCAGAAGCAGGATTGATGGTTTGGGAGATGCTGCCACTCCTAGAGCTCCTGTATTTATCTGACTATTGGAAGCGGTTGGTCAGCAGTTATTCCTGGTAGTTATAAGGAAGAACGGCCCTTCTCCCCTTTCTCCACATAATGTTAATAATAGCTATCATTTATACAGTGCTTGCTAAGTGCTTTACAGTTATTATCTCATTTGATCCTTGCAACAACCCTGGGAGGTAGGTGCTATTATTCATTTCATTTTACAGTTGAGGAAACTGAGGCAAACAGGTTAAGTTACTTGCCTAGGGTCAAACAACTAATAAATGTCAGAGGTAGGATTTAAATTCAGGTATTTCTGACTCAGGTCTAATAGGCAGTCTATCACTATCCTGGTCTGAGGGGAAATGGTGTTCAAGGTGCTGGGGCTGTGAAGGAGCAAAGAAAGGAAAGGGAGCGAGCATCTATACCTACTATACCTACTATATGACAGGCATTGTTCGGTGCTGTTATTATCTCCATTTTATAATTGAGGAAACTGGGGTTAAGTGACTTGCCCAGGATCACACAGCTAGAAAGTATCTGAAGCTGGATTTGAATTCAATTCTTCTTGACTGCAGGTCCAGAGCTCTATCTAGCCACCTAGCTTCTTGATGATTGGTGGTGATGGTGATTTGACTTGCTTGGCATGTACTGCTTCCTGTTTCTCCTTCTCCATGTCTTGCTGCTTCAGATATGTTGCTTGTTTCTCCTGTGTGTAGCAGTTGGTGGCAATGTCTGGCTTTTTCTCCACAGGAGTTGCTTCCTCAGATGTTACCAGTATGGGCTGCTCTGGAAGCAGGACTAGGGGTCTGGGAGGTGCTGACATTACCAGAGCTTTTGTGTCCTATACATGAATGTCTTTTATCCAAATGACATATTAAAAATTTACTGTCCTACAAAAAGATTTTTTTTCTGGCAGGCTATATAATAAGAAAGGAGAAGGTGCATATGGCACACCAATGACTATATAATATATCTTTCATATTAAATACATCTGTATGTCTGTGTTCATCTCTTCTGTTATCAGCAAGAAAAAGTGAAAAAGAACTTAAAGATGAAGAAATGGATCTGTTTACAAAATACTACACAGAATGGAAAGGAGGTAGAAAAAATGCAAATGCATTCTACAAATCTATTCCACGGTTTTATTACAGGGTAAGTAATAGAGTTAAGTAGCAAAAAAGCCTGGAATCTTTATAAGTGTTATTTAAGTCTTTAATGTACATAGGGTCAGGATATTTTATTTAATATCAGTTAATTGAGGTACATTTAATGTAGTAACTATTTTTGTACTTTTGTTCCCGTAGAACCTATAATTGTCATGAAACAGAATTGAGCATAGAAGATCTGACTTTTTTTTTCAACCCCCTCATTTTATTTGTTAATTAAATTTTCTTTTTTACAATCAGTGAAAATCTGCCTTCTCACTTTTACAAATGTGATAGTCAAGCAAAATAGCTTTCTGCATTGGACATGTTCTCTCTCTCTCTCTCTCTCTCTCTCTCTCTCTCCCCCCCCCTCCCTCCCCCTCCCCCTCCCTCTCCCTCTCCCTCCCTCCCTCTCTTTTTTTCTCTCTTTCTCTCTCTCTCTCTCGCCCGCCCCCCTCTATATGTATTTACAATCTGTTTGTATGTCGACATATGCACTCTGAGAACATCATCTCTCTGTCAGGAGACAGGTAGTGTGCTTCATCATGAGCCCTCTGGGATTTTTGTTGGTCATTGCATTGATCAGAGTTTCCAAGTCTTTTGAAGTTGTTTGTCCTTATAATATTGTTGTTATCATATAAATTTGTTCTGCTCACTTCACCCTGTATCAATTCATATAAGTGTTTCCAGTTTTCTTTTTTCATCCCTTTAGGAGATATTAGTAGTGGTATTTCTGGGTCAAAGGTTATACAAAGTTTAATACCTTTTTGAATACAATTCCAAATTGCTTTCCAGAAAGCTACATCAGTTCACAGCTCTAATGTGCATAAAAGCATTTATTAAGTACCTCCTGTGTGCCAGGGAGTGATAAGTGCCCAGGATATAAAGAAAGGAAAAAAGAAAACCCCACCAGACCCTAAAAAAAAAAAACTGTCCCTGCTCTCAAAGAGCTTACAGTTTAATGGGGAAGGCAACTTGCATGCATTATACAAAGAAGATATATGTAGGATAAATTGGAAATAATCTTAAAAGGAAGGCACTAAGATTAAGGAAGAATGAGAAAGTCTCCTTGCAGTAGGACTGAGACTTGAAGAAAACCAGGAGAGAAGATGAGGAGGTAGAGCATGGGGAATAGTCAATCACAATGACTGGAGTTAGGCAGTGCCTTGTTTGTACTCCGCAAGATGTGTGGCGGTATAAGAAGACAAGGAAAGGTAGGAAGGTTATGAAGACCCTTAAAAGCCAAATATAGGATTTTATATTTGATTCTGGAAGTAATAAGGAGCTACTGGAGCTTATTGAATGAGGAAGTAGGGGTGGCCAATCTGATGGATGTGGGCTAGAACTTCAGAGTTGTTTTAATTTGTATTTCTCTGTTAGTGATTTGGAAAATTTTTTCATATGGCTACTTCTAGCTTGAGTTTCTTTCTCTGAAAGCAAGTTTGATCATTTATCAATTTGGGAATGGCTCCCCAATTTGAATTATTTCCCTAAATATCTTAGAAATAAAACCTTTGTCAGAGAAACTTGCTGTCAAGATATTTTCCCACATACCTGTGGTGCTCATCTAATTTTAACTGCATTAGTTTTCTTATGCAAAAACTTTTTATGTAATCAAAATTTGATCAATTGATAAACATTTATCATGTTTACAGTGTGCTAAACTCTGGGGATACAAAGAGCGGCAAAAGATAGTCTCTGCCTTCAAGGAGCTTGCAATCCAGTGGGGCAGACAACTTGCAAACAAATATATACAAAGCAAGGTACATACAGAATAAATAGGAAATTATTAATAGAGGGAAGGCAGTGGAATTAAGAGGGGCTGGGAAAGACTTTCTAGTAAAAGAAGGGATTTTAGTTAGGAAAAGAAGCCAGGGAGGTCTGTAGGTGGAGTGGAGGAGGGAGGAATGTTCCTGACATGGGAGACAGAGAAAATGATCAGAACTGAGAGATGGAACAACCAGAATGTCAGTGTCTCAGGATCAAAGGAGTTTGTGGCAAGGAGTAAGGTGTAACAAGACTGGAAAAGTACAAGGCAGCTTTGATGAAGGGCTTTGGATGCCAAACAGAGCTTTTGTGTTGGATCCTGAAAACAGGAGGAAGCCACTAGAGTTTATTGAAAAGGAGGGTAAGATGGTCTAACCTGTGCTTCAGACAAGTGGATTGGAGGGGGCAGAGAATTGGAGCAGCAGGGTATTATAATAGTCCAGTCATGAGGAAATGAGTGCCTGCCCTAGCATAGTAGCTAGTCAGAGGAAAGACGGGGGCATATTTGAGAGATGTTGCAAAGGTGAAATTGACAATCCTTAGCAACAGATTGGATATGAAGGGTGAGAGACAGTGAGGAGCCCAGGGTTACTCCTAGGTTGCAAACCTGAGGGACTGGGAGGATAGTGTTGCCCTCTATAGGTCTAACAGGTAATTTTTTTTGTGCTCCTCTGATTTTTTTTTTATGTCCACCCTTCATGTCTTAAGTCATGTGCCCATTTTGTAGCTTGACTTGGTAATGTAGTATAAAATGTTAGTCTGTATCTAGTTTCTACCATTCTTCTTTCCAGTTCAGCTGTTGTCAAATAATGAGTTCTTAGTAATAATAGTGAGTATTAACTGTTCTCTTTGGGGAGTGCAGTTTTCAGTTCAGTGATGAGATTGGAGGTCAGGCTGCAAAGGATTGGGGAATGAATGAGAGAAATGGAAGCAAGGAGTTTAGAAAGCCTTTGTCTGGGAAAGGGAGGAACGATAGAGGATGATAGCTTTAAGGGATGGTGTGATATGGTGAAGGTTTTATTTATTTGTTGTAGGAAGGAAGTAGTAGATAAGGAGATGTTAAAGATGAGAGTGATCCCAGTAGCAGGCATCTTTGGATTTGTTGGACCCTACACCTTTGTGTTTATTTACTTCTGTAAGAAGTTTAATTGTTGTAAGTTTCCATGTAAATTGCCCTAAGTACAGAATTGTCATTTACCTTTCATTTGAGATATATGACTTTCTCATTTCGCAGTGCTAGTCTTGAAATGATTAGTTGTTTAATATAATAAATACATAATATAAAAAATGTTTTATACATGTGATTCCTATGTGACTAGAGAGTCTCTTTTTTTATGCTAAGATACTTTGGGAAAAAATAAGGGACTATACAAATGTTACGAACTTGATTAGCCTGAATATGTGACACCTCTAGATGAGATTAAAGGAAAAAAAACATAAGTGTATTAAAAAAAAAAAAGCTGTCCTCAGATTTGATTCAGGCCATATTAGTGAGAAAAAAGTGTAGCTAATATTTATTATGTAACCACAAAGTTGGAAAGGAACTCAGAAGCTATATGTTCAAGCCATATGTTGGAAAGGTAACAGGATAGAGAGGAGGATCACGAAGGAAGTGCTGAGGAACTGAGAAGAGACATGGCAAACAGGTAGAACAGGAAAAAGAAGGAAGAACCTCACCAATCAAGTTTGCAGCAATCTTTAGATGTCCTGGTGTACACATAAGAAGTTTATGAGATAGCAAACTCCAGTTTTATAGTTTGGAAAATAACATTTTACAGCCCTATTCCTGGCATAGTGCCTGGAACATAAAGAGTACTTATCGATTGAACAATGCTAGCAGAAGCTCTGCAATAAGAGACAGAATTATCAACATTTTCTTGGTTTTTGTCTAACAAGGTCTGTTCTAAATAATCCTCAAAAGGCTATCCTTCAGATATTTGAAGATTGCTATTATATTCTTCCTCAGTCTTCTTTTCCCCAGGCTAAACACACCCTATTTCTTCAACCATCTTCATGTCATAGTCTCTAAGCCCTTCACAAAAGCATCTTGGGTGCCCTTCTCTTTACATACTCCAATTGAGCAGTATCTTTAAATTGTGGTGCCTAGAACTGAACATAGTATTCCAGATAAGATCTAACATGGTCAGAATGCAGTGGGATTATGTCCTCCCTATTCCTGAAAGCTGTATCTCTCTTAATGAAACTTTATTGTTATTATTTATTTTTATATTTTATTTATTTATATTATTTTTATTATATTTATTATTAGCTTTATTTTTGCCTGCCACATCACACTATTGACTCATTCAGCTTGTAGTCCACCAAAATCCTCAGATTTTTTTCAGAACAATTATTATCTATCTTTGCCTTTCTTACCTTGTACTTGTGAAGTTGTTTTATTTAAACCAAGTGCAAGACTTTATCTCTATTGAATCAAGATTCTTTTGGATTCTAACTCTGTCATCCATTGTGTTAGCTATTCCTCCTAGTTCTCTGTCATTTGCAAATATGAAGTGCAAATTATCTATGGTTTAATCTATAAAATGGATAAAAATGTTAAATAACACAAGGCCAAGTATATTTCTCTGGGATAGTCCACTGGAGACTTCTGCCACATTGACATTAAACAGTTAGTAGGTTATCCAACCAGTTCTGAATCTGTATGATTGCACTGTTATCCAATCTGTATCACTCCCATCTTCTTCCTAAGATAGTATGAAATACTATCTCACAAACTTTGGTAAAACTAGGTAAACCTATCTCCAACATCCTCCCATTTACTTAGTTTAGTAATCCTGTGAGAAAAAGAAATGGGCTTAGTCTGGCATAACCTGTTCTTGATGAAGCCATGTTGGCTTTGAATCACTTCTTTTCTTTCTAGAATTTTCCCAGGTATCAGTCAAGATCATCATGTCATACCTTCTATTCCTCCTACCCCCTACCTGGGGCCATTGCTTTATCCTTTACTAAGAAAATAGAGGCTTTTCAGATTACAACTTCAGTCATCCCCTCTTCTATAAACTTCAGTTCTCTCTTTTTTCTTTCTCTCCCTCTCCCCCTCTCCTAGTTTCTTCCCTACACTCTTCAAACATGCCCAGCTTTCCATGATCCTTTAAAAATATTCACTAGATCATAGGATCCCTTCAAGCAATCATATGGTATGTCTTTCTCAGCCAGACTCTTAGAAAAAGCTTTCCAAATTTATTGCTTCCACTTCTCTCTCATTCCATAACTAAACTGAAATTGCTGTCTCCAGAGTTATCTGTGATCTCTTAATTGCCAAATTTGATGCCCTTAACATCCTTTCAATCCTCTTCACAGCATTTGACATTGGTAACAACCCATTCTTCCTGGATTCTCTCTCTCCAGTAGGTTTCCATGATGTAACTGTCTCCTGATTTTTCTCCTATCTGTATGATATTTCTTAAGTTTCCTTTCCTGGCTCTTCATGCATATCATGCTTCCTATCTGTGTATGTACCTTAAAATTGTATTTTTTTAGGCTCTCTTCTTTTAATATTCTCTTACTTGGTGACAGTTTAATTATCTCAATGCAGATTAATCCCAGATCTGTCTATCCAGGCCTAGTCTCTTTCCTGAAGTCCTGTTCCTTATTATCAGCTACCTATTGGACATTTCAAACTGAATAGCTGAGGATTCTCCCAAACTAAAACAAAACTCATTATTTTTTCCTCTCCTGACTCCAACTACGTCTTTTCCAAATGATTTCTTTTGATGATATCATGATTCTCCCAGTCTCCTGGGTTCTCAGGCTCTCAACATCTCTCTTCCTTACCCCACATATCCAGTCATTTGTGAAATATTGCTCTTTCTGTCTCCACAACATCTCTTACATCTGTCAATTACTACCTTAGTTCAGGTCTTCATCAGCTCTCACTTGGATCATTGCATTTGCCTCTTAATTGGTCTTCCTGCCTCAATTCTCTCTTTCTCCAATTTATCCTCTACATAGCTACTTCCTAAACCTCACGTCTAAACACGTCAGTCCCATATTTGGTACATTACAGTACTTTCCAGTTGCCATTAGGATAAAATACATGTTTCTCTGTTTGGTTATTAAAGCCCTTCATAATCTGACCTCCCTTTCCAGACTCCTACATTACTCCACTTATACTCTGCTGTTTAGATAAACTGGCATTCTTGCTGTTCCTCACACATGATACATCTCCTTGTCTGAGTACCTTTGCAGTAGTTGTCCTGGCTTGTAGGGCTGGAGCAGGAAGGGACTTAAGAAATCATTTAATTCAACCCTCTCATTTTACAGGTGAGGAACTGAGGCCCAGGGAAATTAAATGACTTCCCCAAAGTTACACAGGCAGTAAGCATCAAAGTCAAAATTTTAACCCAGGTCCTCTGACTCCAGAGGCAGTGCTCTTTACGTTTTTCTATAGAATTTTCTCATTCTGTCCCTCAACATCATAGAATCTCTTACTTCCTTCAAGACTCAGCTCAAGAATTAATTTTTTTGTGAAGCCTTTGCTGACTTACTCCCTCCACATAAATGCTGATGCCCTCTTTACCTAAAGTACCTTGTATTTATTCTTTATATGCTTATATGTGTAATGTATCTCCCAAGAAGATGTAAGCTCCTTGGCGGGGCAGCAGCTATTTCATTTTGTGTTTGTATTATTATCAGGACCTAGCACCATGCCTGGTACATAGTACTTAATAAATGCTTGATTGAGTTTGGTATAGCTGGCACAAATATTATTTACTTTGAAGATGAGGAAACTGAAGATCATAGAGTTAAGATGGCCTGCCCGTATTTACAGTACTAGAATTCAAATCATCTGATTACAAGTTCAGTATGCTTTCTGTTACATCACACTGGTTCTTCTACATGAACCTAAAGCTGTAATAAGAGCATTCCTCTAGGGGTCCAAAAATAGTATGACAAACTGAAACTAAGAACAATCAAAATATAAGCCAGGAAGAAATCTGATGGTTTTTTTTCTTCTGGCTATTTAATGTATGAAAATGATTGTTTTAGGCCCAAAATAAGCACTTCTAGTCAGTATGCCTGAAATTTATCTGCAAAATTTTTGTTAATTCTTTTCTTTATATGTTTTAGCTACCAGCAGAAGATGAAGTCTTACTACAGAAATTAAGAGAAGAGTCTAGAGCTGTTTTCCTGCAAAGGAAAAGTAGAGAACTGTTAGATAATGAAGAATTGCAGGTGAGAGGAGAAAAAAGAATTACTTTAAATGTTAATAAGTGTATATTGATAGGGCTTAAACCATGAATGTTTGCCTTAGAATCATTGTTTAATGAGATAAAGGGCTAAGGAAGTGCTCTTAAACTAGTGGTGGGAAGATTAAAAAATTAAATATTAAGCCTTTTTTAAAGGGAGTTAACTCATTTTGTCAAAATCTGTGAGGTTTTTTTTTTTGTTGTTGTTTTGTCTTACAATTTATTTGTCCTTCTGTGTCATTTTTAAGAATTTATGGTTTTTACTGGACAAACATCAGACACCACCTATGATCGGGGAGGAAGCAATGATAAATTATGAAAACTTTTTGAAAGTTGGAGAAAAAGCTGGACCAAAGTGCAAGTATGAATTATTTAAATTAGTATTTGTGCTTATGTTAAACATTTCAAACCTTCAGATGAAAAATATTACAAATTGTTAAAAATTAGCTTAAAACTCTCTGATTGAAAAAAAAATTATTAGTCATGGAGTCTTAGAATTTGGGAGCTAGAAGGGACCTTAAAAATGTAGACTGTAATTTCCTGGCTAATACTCAAAGGGTAAAGCAACCCACATTTTGTATGGTTTTAAAATTTTAAATTTCTGAAGAATAAATAGCTCCTTGGCAGTGATGGAGATACTAAAAAGTATAGTTGTGTGCATAAGGTGGGGTGGGAAAAGGGAAGTGGTTTGAAGAAAAGAGCATCAATAAAATAGTTTTTAAAATACAGAGAAGAAATTTATTTGAGTCAGTACATCTTAAAGTACTCTGCAATAGTATGTTGCTAATATACATGAGTAATTTTATTAGTACTGTGTTAAATTTAATGTAATTAAAAAAACAAACAAAAGAACAGAGCAGTTCGTGTTTCGTGCACAATTCTGTTGAGAGAAGGTACTGTGTTTTTTTTTTTTTCCCTGTCTTTCTATCCCCAGAGCCTGGCACAATGCTGTACTTAGCAGGCTCTTAAATGCTTGCTGTTTATTCAATGTTTGTGGATGATTAAATTCATAATAAAAGTATTTTTTAAAAGAAATAAATATTTCCTATGGTTTTTTTAACTTTAATCTCTTAAGTAATTTATGTCATGTTTGCAAATTATTTAATTTCTCTTTCTTAGGCAATTCTTTATGGCAAAAGTCTTTGCTAAGCTTATTCATACAGATCCCTATGGAAGAATCTCTATTATGCAGTTCTTTAATTATGTTATGAGAAAAGGTAGGTATGAGGGTGATATAATACCTTTTTCTCTCTAAGTCATAGAAAAATAATCATATGATTAGATTATGGCTATGTCTTTATTTATTAAACAACAATAACTTCTATTTGCATAGTACTTTAAAGTTTATAAATCCCTCATAAATTTTGTAAAGTAGGTAATACAAGTATCCCCATTTTATAGATTAGAAAATTGAAGCTCACGGAGGTTGAGGGAACATTAGAAAGGACATTTGACTTAGTTAAGAGAGACCTAGGTTCCATCCATTTCTACCTCTTGCATTGACTGATCTTGTGATCATGAGCAAGTCAGTTAAACCACTCAGTGCCTTACTTTCCTCATATAAAAAGCAGCTAAGGTAAGAGCTATAGTACTTAACTTCACAGAGTGGTTGTGAGGAATCTTTGAACAGCTGCCTGACCTTGATGAATTGAGTATGTTGTAGTGGGTATACCTTTTTAGCTGGGGAAAAAGTACTGGAGTGGAGTAGCTGACCATTGAGCTGTAAAATTCTGAAATACTGTGTATTTGTGAATTGAAATAATATCTACAAAGAACTTAGTAAACTCTAAAGTGTAACATAAATATCAGTTAAAATTGGATTTGACCACAACATTACAGCTAGTAAATTGTGAACTTAGGTCTTTTGACTTCAGATTAAGTGCTTTTCATATTGTTTTTTTCTACATTACCGCTTCTAAAATAGCTCCACTATTTAAGCATTTCAAAGTGCCTTAGAAACATATAGTAATTCAGATCAATTTAAGAGGTGGCTTAGTGAAGATGTCTGGGTTTGGAATGAGAAGACCTTGGTTCAAAATCTGCTCTGACCATCTTACCCTTGTAACCTTGTACAAGTCACTTAATCTTTCTGGGCTTCAGTTTCCTCCTCTTTAAAAATGAGGGGATTATACTGGGTGTTATCTAGGTCCCTTCCAGGTCTAAATTTATGATCTTTTTACCTTGACAACATGAGCCATAGAGAGAGCATTTTTCCTCACTTAGGATCATTTATAACTTGAGGAGACTAGCTAAAAAATAATTTAAATACTTTGTTAAGGTAATGACTAAATAGAATAGGTCATGAACATGTGATTAAGAATTTAAATATATAACATTGAGCGTAAAGATGCGAATTGTGCTAAAGAATGAAAAGTTTAATTCATTCTGGCTCCAGAGTTTTAATATGTGGGCATTTTGAAGAGTTTAAAGTTAACCCAGGTTCACAGACTCAGTTTTCCAGGACTTCTTATTCTCCTTTATCCCACAACATGGTTGTCAAATCCTGCTGATTCAACCTTCATAGCATCTCTCAAATACATCTTCCCTTTTTACTTATATGGCCAATACCTTAGTTTAAGTCCACAGTACCTTTCTCTTTTTATTTTATTTATTTATTTTGGCAAGGCAGTTGGGGTTAAGTGACTTGTTCAGGATCACACAGCTAGTAAGTGTCAAGTGTATGAGGCCAGATTTGAACTTGGGTCTTCCTAACTCCAGGGCTGGTGCTCTATCCACTTCACCATCTAGCTGCCCCACCACATTGGCCTTTCACATGGACTGTTTTGATATTTTCCTGTTTGGTCTCTTTGCTTCTAGTCTTTTCCTCCTCCAGTTCATCCTCTGTACTGTTGCCAAATTAATATTTCTAAAGCACTGAACATTTTGCTCCCTTGTTCAAAAATCATCTGTGGCTCCCAGTTTTATCCCAATAGGATAAAATACAAACTCTTTTTCTGGAGGTCCCTTGCCAATCTGGCTCCAGCCTACTTTTCCAGGATTAATGCACATTGTGTCCTTTCTCTCCTTTTGCAGTCCAGCCAAGGTGGCCTACTTAACTTTTCTTGGCAAATGAGCATCTATTTATTTATTTATTTTCTGGGTGAGGCAATTAGGGTTAAGTGACTTGCCCAGGGTCACACAGCTAGTAAGTGTCAAGTGTCTGGTCTGAGACTGGATTTGAACTCAGGTCCTCCTGAATCCAGGGCTGGTGCTCTATCCACTGTGCCACCTAGCTGCCCCAAAACAATCATTTATAAAACACCTACTATGTGCCATGCCCTGTGCTAAGATGCTGGGGATACAAAGAAAGGCAAAAGATAGTCCCTGTTCTCAAGGAGCTCACATTCCAGTTGGGGAGACAACATGCAAACAACTGTGTACAGACAGACTATATGCAGCGTAAATTGGAAATGATCAGTGGAGGGAAGATGCTAGAATTGAGAGGGATAAGGAAAGGCTTCCTGTAGAAGATGGGATTTTAGCTGGGCCTTGAGGGAAGCCAGGAGAAGGGAGAGCATTCTTTGGCATTGGGACTGCCAGTGAAAATGCTTAAGAGTTAGGAGAGCAAGTGATTTGTTTGAGGAACCAAAAAAAAAAAAAAAGGCTAGGAAGCCAGTGTCACTTGATTACAGAGTTAGTGGGCACAATAAGTTCCATCTTCTCACCTCATGTTTGGAATATATTCTCTTCACCTTTTAAGATTCAACTTTATGCTTCCTCCTGCATGAAACCGATTCTGATTTATCCATATATTTATTTTGTACATAGTTGGTATTTTCTTAACTGTCTTTATATTGTTACCCCCTGGTAAAAGGGACTATTTTAATTTTGGCTTTGTATTCATAACAACAGACAGCATATGAACTTAATAAATGCTTGCTGAATGAATGATCTTATTTAGAATTAAAGCAGTTAATGTATTAATTTATAACACCAGCCTGCCATCTGCCTTATGGTTTACTGTTTTGGGCTTTATTTTAGTTGGAAATATCCTGCAGCTAAAAGCCAGTTAATATGTGTGTAAATTGTATTCTTGGGTTTGGAAGTTTGCATCTATTACTAAGCACTTTACATTCATTATGTGTGCTCAAGTTTATTGAAGGATTAATTTCACATATTTCTGAATTTTCTTTTATAGTGTGGCTCCACCAAACAAGAATAGGGCTTAGTTTATATGATGTGGCTGGCCAAGGTTACCTTCGGGAATCAGTAAGTATGTTTACTAACAGCACTCTAAATGTTTTATTTTAAATAAATCTTTAAAAAAGATTTACTTGTCCTTTGCTCCTGCCTAGGGGTAAGGCATAAGTAAAAATTAGGAAATATTATTTAGACATTAAAAATGTTCAGTTCATACTAGCAATAGGTTTTTTTTTTAAATAATAAAAAAAGGAAAAACATGGAAAAAATTTTAAGTATTTCCTATGTGCTAAATACTCTACAGATGTCTGATTTGATCCTCAGAACAACCTTTGGAGGTAGGTGCTATTATTCCCATTTTACAGTTGAGGAAACTGAGGCAGATTAAATGACTTGCCAGGGGCACAGTAAGTACCTGAGGCTAGATTTGAACTCAAATGATCCCGACTCCAGGCCCAGCACTCTATTTGTTGTACCATCTAACTACCTCAATACCTTCTTGTGGAACATAAGTAGTAATTTTAAAAAATTAAAGTTTTGGCAGTCTATTTGCAGTGCTGATGTGTGAAATTTTAAAATATTTTGATAAAATTTTTAGGTGTCTAAAAGATAAAAAAAAGATTAATAATGTGACATTTACTGTCACTATATAGGTTTGCAAATTCAGCCATCAAGAGGCTTATTTATTTTCTTTTGCCACTTGGACTGTGTTTAGTATAAATTGCAACAACTTGGGGGTAGTATTGTTATTTTGTTGTTGTTATGGCCTCAAGTTCTAAACATGAAAATTTCTAGTTAATGTATCAGATTCTTTCAGTCATGTGCTTTTTTTTTTAAAAGAAACCTAGAACTTTATTAATATAGGTAAGCATAAACATTAATTAGTATTATAAATTACTGTTTTAAGAAGATAAGGATTTAGTTTTAAAACATTAAAGTACCTCACTCAATAATCATTTACTATCATCATTTGGGCAAGCATGACTCTTTTCTTAAGCCTTGGATTTGAATAAAGCATATCTTTCAGGTCTTGTTTATACTTGGCTTCAAAATCCCTTGCTTAAGTTTCTTCAAGACTTCAGCCCAGTTGAACAAAAGAAGCTTTTGCTTTTGTTTATCTCTCTCTTTCTCTCCCCTCCCCTCTCGTTCTCTCCCTCTCTTCCTTCCCCTCCTAAAGAGAATTATCTACTTGCTTGTGCTTTATCATAATGTAGGTGTTAACTGTGCTGCAGAGTGTGAGAAATAACTCATTCGGACTCAGGAAGGATGAAATTAAAAGTCCTGTTTATTATGCAGTTGCAAAAGCAGGTGTACTTAGTTACTTTTCTAGCAGTTGTTTCAATTTTATGGAAACAAACATTTTCCTTGTCTCTCAGGAGCCATTAGGGAGGGCCTCAATTCCAGGTTTGTTGCCTGTGCCCTACATTAATCTGTCTTTTAAATCTAAATCTGCTCATGACCCTAGTTTTTTTTAATCGCTGTCACCACCTTTTCTTTCTGGAGTCCTCTAACTTATTTCAATAGACATTTATTAAATATTTACTGGCTGCAAGGACCTTACATTCTAATGGGAGGAGACAACATACACATCAGTAAATAAGTATAAGACAACTTTCGAAGGGAGAGAGCATTATTCAGGAAATGCTTCTTGTGGGAGATGACATCTGAATTGAACTTGAGGGAAGCAAAGGATACTAAGAAATGGAGATGATGAAAAGAGGAGGGAAAGAAGGAGTTGGGGAGAGAGGTGAGGAAGGGGTAGAGAAAGAGAGGGAAGTTGGAGGGGAGTAGATAGAGGGAAAAAGACCGAGTTAGAGAGAGAGCTTTCTCAACTTTAGCTTAGTCCACTTTAAAACCAGGTCTCATTTTATTCCTAATTTTAAGAAGTGGGTCTCTTTGGTCATTTTCTCTAAAGCTCAGAATTAATTACAAATTAGTGCCCTGCAATAAGTAACAAAATTCTTTGCTACACCAGAATATAATATTTTAAACAATTCTTTGCTACCCCAGAATATGATATTTTAAACAATTTAAGTAGTTTCCTCAAAATGGTTGTGAACTTATTTCAGTAATTAAAGAGATCAATGCAGAGGATTTTTATCATGGAAAATTGTGTACCATTGTTTGAATAGGAATCAGGAGTGGGAAGATTGTATATTGAAGATTTTAAAACTTTTTTTTCAGGATTTAGAAAACTACATATTAGAACTTATCCCTACTCTGCCACAGTTAGACGGCCTAGAAAAATCCTTTTACTCCTTTTATGTCTGCACTGCAGTTAGGAAGTTCTTCTTCTTCTTAGATCCTCTGAGAACAGGTAAAAACAAACTTTAGAAATGTTGTGGTAATGTTTGCTTATAAATTGTGATAAGTAGAAATATCATGTCTTGAAAATGTTTCTCTGAAATGCTGCTGTAGGGAGTAAATTTCAAAAGGTAGAAGAGCAGGAATAGCAGCAGTGATTTAGGAGCTGTCTTTGAATACTAACTGCTACTAACTGCCACTGTGAATTTCAATAAGTAACTCAACCTCAGGGCCTCAGTTTTATCATTTGAAAAATGGAATTGGAGATGACCGATTCCTTAGCATATTCTTTTGTGCTCTAAAAAATTCTTTTGCTTTTAAAATAATGTGCTTTGTACTTGGTTATGATGAAGATACTTATCTGTCACACAATTGCTCTAAGTTAGAGTACTACTGAATTTAAATATATCCACTCTATATATTCTCACCCAGTCCCTACTGTGATCAAAATGATCCTATATACATTTGTAAAATAGTTGCCCATAAAGCATAATTATTTTTTCCTCCATAAAGTTAATTATTCCATGCAAGCAGAAATTAGGTTAGCAGTTTTGGTCTCATTAGTAATACCATACCTTACTCAAGTGACTTCACCTCCCCAGACTTGGAAATCCAGTGGGTTATCTATTGCCTCAGAGTTACAGTGATATTTTTATCTCCATGTGGAAAGATTCTGAGGGTCATGTATGAAATGATTTATCCTCTTATAAATCTGTTCTTATTTTAGAAATAAATGAAATATATTCTGGGTTTTTAGAATGTCAGTTCTTTACATGAGTATGTACTGAGATTTAAGATGAAACTAATTGTATTGATATTATTTTAGGAAAGATAAAAATACAAGATATTTTAGCTTGCAGCTTCTTAGATGATTTATTAGAGGTAAGTAAATTATTTTTACAATATTATATTTGTGATTCTAACTTACAGTTATAATATTCTTATTATGTATCTGTCATGTATATTTAGCTTAGGGATGAAGAACTTTCCAAGGAAAGTCAAGAAACAAATTGGTTTTCTGCTCCTTCTGCTTTGCGGGTTTATGGTATGTTGCTAAATTATGCTACAGTTTGTGTAATTCTGAATGACTTACTCTTAATATTGTATCACTTCAATGATTCTGAATGTTCTGGGTTGGAAGGATATCCAAGATTTACTAAAGTACCTTTTTAGCACCAAAAATTGATTAAAAAAAAAAAAACTTTCCAAAATGTGTGACTTTTCAAGTTTCTTAAGTAGGTTATAGTGAATAATCCTAGGAATATAATTTAACTATTTTCTTACTCAGGGTTATTATTAATATGAATTTTTACAATGCTATAACATAATGAAGCCCATGAGAACAATTGAATAGTATAGGGGTTAGCTCAATCCTCCACTGAATTTCTCCAGATCATTGTACTCTTCTAGATGATGTTCATGCTGTCTTCCCATTGGTAATATCAGAACGAACATTATTTATAAAACTTTTAGCCCCTACACCCAAAAACCAAACTACTGTGTTAGTCTAATCAGTCATTCACCAAGCATTTATTAAGCATGTCATGAGCTAGGCACTGATGATATTATGCACTGTATGTCAGTTATTAGTATTGTTACTGTAACTATAACATCATTTGAAAATGTAAAATGTTAAATAATTAAAATAATTACTGATGGCTGTTAATAGAAACATTTACGTTTCTATAATAATGGTTTCTAACCCACTAGTGATACTGGAGCATTTTGTTTGTTTCCATTTCTGTCCTGTAGGCCAATATTTGAATCTTGATAAGGACCACAATGGAATGCTCAGTAAGGAAGAACTCTCCCGATATGGAACAGCAACTATGACCAATGTGTTCTTGGATCGTGTCTTCCAAGAGTGCCTTACTTATGATGGAGAAATGGTACTAGATGAATTTTAATAAGTTCATTTCCAAAAGTTCTTAGCATCCTTTCTCTTAAATCCTAATATCCTGTCAGTCACAGTGATTTCCTGAATATAGCCAATTTTTTTTGGGTACTCAAAATTTCTTTGAGGTTCAGAGCCTTTCATCGTACTGGTTGCTTACTTGTTGTACAGGCTAGGAAATAGCTGTTAACTCAGGTCAGGTAAAAATTTATGACTTAATTATGGAGGCTGTTGGAATAGTTCAGATTAGAGGTAATGAGACCTAGAACTAGAATGATGGCCCCTTGAGTAGAGAAAAAGGGACTGTGAAGAGGAATCAGTAAAACATATTGACTTATTAGCTATGGGGATGGGAATGAGAGAAACTACAGATTTGAGGATGCTTACATGACTGGAAAGATGGAGGTATCTCAACAAAAGTAGAAGAGTTTGGAGGAAGCATAGATTTAGGTGGGGAGATAAAAAATTTGATTTTATATATGTTGAATTTGAGGTTTCTGTGATACATCCAGATAGAAATGTATGGTATTCAGTGGGCAGTGCAGGAGTGGAACTCAGGAAAGAGATGAAGATTAGATGTATAGATTTAGGAGTCATCTCTGCAAGGTTATTGAATCTGGTTAATGAGACCACTAAGACAGAATGTGTTAGAGAATAAGGCGTAGGAAAGAGTAAAACAGGGTTAAAACATGGATGGTAATCCCACAAAAGAAATTCACAAGGAGTGGTCAAACTATTAGAGAATATTGTCACTAAACAGGAGAACATATCCTCGAAGAGAGGTTCTGCCATGTCAGAAGCAGCGGAGAGCTCACGAAAGAGTGAGAAAAGACCATTGATTGGATTTACCTATCAGAATCAGATGTCAGGTGTCAGAGCAGTGAGTGGGGAAATATACAGAAAATGGCTTTTTTAGGAGTTGCACTGTGAAAGAGAGAAGAGATATAGGACAACATAGTTTGAGAGAATGACCATCATTCAGACAAAGAAAATTAAATAGAATAACTCATTTAGTACTCTTGATATTGTTAAATGGTAAGCGGTTGGGACTATGAAGGCTGTGCATTTAGCGCAGTCAAGAGATTTCAGGCATGTTAAAAATGAAAACTCTAATTGTGTAAAAAAAATGAACTCACATTCCTTAGGGCAAGAACTGGAGGGGTCTGAAAAATATTCCAATTTAGTAATAGTTGAGGAACAACATGAACATTTTGCAAAAGCAAGGGAATGAGGCCTTATCTTACAACTGAAATAGCTCTTGGCTAAATAATAGGCTTCAGTGTGGGTGACTGCAAAGGGATGAGGGAAAAGGCAGTGATAGATTTTGCTGTGTAAATCCCACAACCGTAACAATTGACAGTATAGAGTTTATAGTTTACTGATAATTCAGAGTGAATAAACCAAACCAGAGACCTTGGTTGAGTTAGATAGTAATGATAGACTATTTTGACTCCTGTGATTATAAAGGTCTGAATTCTTAATGGTTTGTTTTATTTTTCAAAAACTTTTGCATATAGAATTCTTTATTTAGTTTTGCTTTCACTAAGGAGCTCTCATGTATTTCATCTTCCTTTACCATGCCAAGACAATATTCTAATAATCACTCTTTAAAAAGGAGAATTCAGGTCCTACTATTATATCTGTACTTTTTTGGGGGGCGGGGTGTGGGAAATAAGTACTTGCTGGGATCAGGAAAGGTTTAGTTCTCACCATGGAAAATTTCATAGGTTCTGTATGGTGATTTAGCAGATTGTAAGTTTTCAGACTGTTCAAAGGGATTAATTCAAGTTTTCTGGTGTGTTTTTTCAGCTTGAACACTTCATAATATTCTAAAAACAGCTTACTGTAACAAACTTTCTAGTTATTTTTTTAAAAATTTTTTTATCTTTTTTTTTAAGGCAGTTGGGGTTAAGTGACTTGCCCAGAGTCACACAGCCAGTAAGTGTCAAATGTTTGGTCTGAGGCTGGATTTGAACTCAGGTCCTCCTGATAACAAGGCCAGAGCTCTATCTGCTGCACCACCTAGCTGCCCCTCAGACTTTCTAGTTAGACCAGTCTGATTGGGAAGTTAAGTTCCCCATCAGCTATCCAGTATTGACTAATAATATGTATTCAAAGTTAGAATTAAATGTACAACTATAATAGTTATTATTTCTCACTGACTTTAAAATAATGTTAAAACTCTTAACTTCACTGATTGCAAAATATTTTCAGTGTGAATTCACTTGGGATATCAGTCCTGAATTCAATCACTCTTATATTTATTAAGCACCAGTTATGTGCAAAGCCTTCAGTTAGGCACTGGGTGAGCAAAGACAAACTAAATAGTCTTTGAGGTACTTAAATTCTACTGTGCATCCTACTTTAATATTATTTCCTTTTCTCATAGGATTATAAGACCTATCTAGACTTTGTGCTTGCATTAGAAAACCGAAAAGAACCTGCAGCACTGCAATATATTTTCAAGTTGCTTGATATAGAGAACAGAGGATATCTGAATGTCTTTTCTCTTAATTATTTCTTCAGGGTAAGTCTCTCTTGTAGAGGTGTATCGTGAATATATGTCAGCTTAGATTGTAATTTTATAAATGTTTATAGCAGTACTTGGCTGTTTAACATTTTATGTTTAGTTTAATTTGTTAACCAATGTAATTTTGGTCAAAGTTGTGATTTTTTAAAATTTAAGGTAAAGAATCCATATAAACTGAGGTGGACACTCCAGTCCTGGTGGTGAGTGTCAGCTTTGGTAGACATTGATCAGCCCACATGCCCACACTACTTTTTGTTCTCTAGGCAACCTCCAAATAAAGGAATATGTAGAAATATTGTGATCAGTTGGGATTCATTACTATACAGGACTAAGCCTTGTAACTATCTTTGGATATTAATTAAAGCATTTTTATCACTGATGCTTTTTCAATATGATTTTTCCATTGGTTCTGATTCTCAGTAGTTAGGATATTATTTTCCAGACGCATTAACTATGAGCTCATACATAACCTCTTCAGAGAACCCTTAGCCAGCATTCCATCACAGTCTTTGTGAGCATGAGTACTTTCCCACTTCTGCCATGAGGACCATACTCATTCCACAGCTAGAGTAGTAGACAATATGACCTGTGGAGTGAGTGTTCAGGCATTCTCTTTATATTTTAAAATGAAAGGCACATTGAATCAGATTATACATTATGTTAATTTTTCTTTTTTTTTTTTTAGTCAGGTTAGTTTTTAATTTATATTTTTAAAAATTTTTGCTCATTTATTTCCTCTAATGCAGGCTATTCAGGAATTAATGAAAATCCATGGACAAGATCCTGTTTCATTTCAAGATGTCAAGGTTATTTTTTCTTTTCAATTTATGTAGTGCCAGATTATGAAAGTGAATTGATCATCATATATGAATCCCACAGAAAGAGTAAAAATATTTGAATTGAGGTTAAATTTCATTTGGATAGGATATTTTTAATGGTGTATTTTTTGGAAGCTAAATTGTGTTATGTGGGAGCTGCTCAGACAAGGAATTTTTGCTGTTGGTAATGATAGCAAATATAGATGGATCTGCCTACCATGCTACCAGATTTACTCAGACCTCAGTAGCTTAAGAACTAAGTATCTAAAATAAACTGAGTTTCCCTCTGTTGTATTATCACTTTATTCATCAGATTTTCAGTAACTATCAAAAATAAGTATCTTTTTAATGAAATATGGAGCAAAATCACAGGATACTTTCAACTGACTTTAATGACTGAACTAAAGGGTCTTCTTGTTGTTGGTTCTTATTTTCAGTAATTGATATATTTTTTTTTCCAGAATAATTTAGCTATATGGACTACACAATATTTTCAGAACATTACTTTTCAGAACAGTATTCTCAACAAACCAGATTATTTTCTGGGTCAAAATCTAGTTTAACCACTACAAATTTGAAGTTTTGTTACAAGTACATTAAGATCTGGCAATTTTTTTTTGAAACTGTAGCAGTCCAAAACTAGGGATATGGTTTCATATACCCAAAATTAAAAAGTAATACATTGGACTTGTCTAAATCCAATACCAACCTTTTGTAAGTTTAAGGTTCTACTTTCTTCTATGATGCTGCTGAGATTCTTTAACTGCTTTTGATTTGTAAAAGTTACTGATGTATACTTATGAAGCATATATTTAAATTTTTTGAAAATATAGTGTTACCTTTTACCCCATTTAATCTAAATAATGAAGTTTGATTACCACTTAGGGTTTAGTCCCATGTCTTTCTTATAACTTGTGGAAGGATAAAGCTAATACTTTAATATTAATCTTGTCCTCTTTTCCATTCAGATTAAATGATTGTCATTTGTTGAAAACCATGTTTTGTAATGATCTTTATTGGGTCAAATGTATATTAATTTTTTGGTGAGCTGAGCTTTTAATCTGCTAATGGAATCTCAAACCAAAAAGCTTCACAATTCACTAGTTGCTTTTCTAGTAGACTAGAATTTTGACCTGAAATCTAGTCTTGGCTTTGCTAGTCACTTAACTATAATGGTCCTCAATCATAGGTTTCTTCTCCCTCCTTCCCCAAGTTAACTGGATTATCTGTTAAATGAAGTAAAATAAGCAGAAGAAATCGTGAAGGGCAAAGATGATTTAAAACCCAAAGTAATACCATTTTTTATTTATTAGTCACACAAATTGAGTGAAATTAATCCAGTGGCTGTGTTTTATTGTATCTTTCTACATTTACAGGATGAAATCTTTGACATGGTGAAACCTAAGGATCCTTTGAAAATATCCCTTCAGGATTTAATCAACAGTAATCAAGGAGACACAGTCACTACCATTCTAATTGATCTGAATGGCTTCTGGACTTATGAGAACAGAGAGGCTCTTGTAGCAAATGATAACGAAAACACTGCAGACCTAGAGGACACATGATCTTTAACAAACTCAACTATCTCCTTTGAGACATGCTTGAATGCTGTATGATCATACAAGAATGAATAAATTGTAAGGGTGCAGTTAAAATATTCACGTACCTGTAGAAATTTGCAAGAGCCTGATTTATTGGGATTTTCAGGTTAACTAAATCCGAAACCAGTGGGGTCAAATACTGTTTTTTAGGAGGTAAAATATTATCCGGTTATTTTTAGCACATATATGGCAGACAGTCATGTGTCATGTCATAATGTTTTGCTGACTGTGCAAAATGCCGATTTTTAATTTCTATAATAATTTGTAATGGGTATTCTCATGACAAAATAGGACTTAATAATTTGAAATTTTATATTTGTGAAGTTCAGTTTTACTATAAATCAGTCACATAATGAGAGTTTATACTAACAACTGATAATTAATGGCAATTCATAAAGTATTTTATGTATTGTCATTTGACCCTCATAAAAACCCTGTATGGTATTAGAAAAATTATCCCCAGTTTTACAGATGAGGAAACTGAGGCTCAGAGTAGTTATGTGGCATGCCCAAGACCAATCTGTTAGTGGTAGAGTCTCAGTGTAGATCTTCTAATCCCAAAGCCAAACTCATTTATATTATACTACCTCCTACAAAGGGGCAAATTAATATTCAAGGATTTTTTTTCCATAATTTCAAGTGAAAAAAAAAAACTAAATGAAACTTGTTCTAGCTACTGGTTCCCTATAGTTTCAACGGAAACTACAAATATTTGGATACAAGCTTTATTCGAGATGACTTGGGTTGGGCTTTTTATGTAGCTGAAGGAACCAAGCAATATCTAATATTTATCTTGTTGCTTAATAGAACCACTTGAGTTGTACTTCAGGGATTACTACAAGTGTGTGAGTGGTAACAGCACTATGTTTGTACTCAAAACTTATTAGCTGTGTGGGCAAATCATTTTCCTCTTTTACAAAATAGGGATAATAATGGTTGCAACTAGCATTACCTTACTTCAACAGGGGTTTTTGTTTTTTGAGGCAGAAGCTCTGGGTATGTTTCTGGGCACCACAAAATGGAGTCAATGGATAAGAAGAGATTTCAGATGAGAGAGGAGGTAATTGAAGGGGCATGCTCCCAAAGAGAGTAAATGGGAATGAAATCAAGGGCAGAATTAGGAGATCTAGATTGGAACAGAAGAGAGAATGGGGGAAAACAGTGAGGGTATTGAAGGTTGTTTTTAGGGAAAAGATGGTGAGGCAAAGTTCTTTGCCCAGTAGGGGAAGAGGAGTGGAACAGAGTCTGTAGTGCATCTATATAATAAGCAATAAATACTTTATTCACTCAGAAGTCAGTTTGTGGGGCATGCAATAGTCAGGGAAGTATAAAAAGATTGAGGTACAGCACTGAGCACCCTGTGGAGATTAGAAAAAAATGTTTAGTGGACCAAGTCAGCATAACTGTGAATCTTTCAGGGACTTTAAACAGCAGGATAATCTAGATTTGGGGTTAGAAAAGGGGGAAGGGATTCAAGGGTATGGGACAGTTTAAAATCAAACTGGTTTAAGATTTCAAAGGGAGGAAAATCAGGCCAGAGCATGAGTGAGTGCCTGGGAAAATGGAGCGGAGCATCAAGTTGTAGGGAGAATGGAGAAGAGATTTAGGAGGGAGAGAGAGAAAGATAGGAAAGTGTGGTCAGAGTGGGACTTTGGAGTTTCAGATCATGCAAGTGGAGAATACGTGGATAATACAGCTAAAGGGTATGTGTGTGGCTTATGTGGAGTAAAAGTACAAATTAGGGGAGTTCAGTAAGGCTAATGAACTGAGAAGAGTGTTTGAGGGGACATGGGCATTTAATTGACATCTTTGAGGTAAGGGATGGAAGTAGAGACTGTTAGCCCCCAGAGCTAAACTTTTTCAGAAGGGGGAGGGGATAACCTGGGGGCTACAGATAGCTGCCACCAGGATCTGGATAGGGTTATACATAATTTGAAGAAGGTGATGGTGGTAGGAAGGTCTGGAAGTGGCAGTGAAGAACATAAAAATATTCTGAGTATACTTTTATTTTGTACCAGTTAAGGAAAAGAATGAATGCTTTAAGATTGAAGAGTGATAGAGCACCAATAAGGTATTGTAAAAAAGGAGATGAATTGAATGGGAACAAATGAGAAGCTTCAGATGATCATGTAAAGCAAATAATTTAATGAATTAACAGGTAATCATTTTAACCATTTTATATAATTTGCATGAACTAAGTATTACATATTAAGGCACAGTAAATACAAAGTATTAAGTACACAAAGTTAGGACAAAGGTCTGCCTGATCATGGAAAAGGTAGTACAAAAAGACAGTTCTGGACATTTCAAATCTTGACATTAAAAGCTAACAAATACATAATTTTAAAGTCATAGTTCAGTTGCTAGCTTTAGCCAATGGGGAAACACTTGAGTTATGGTATAAAGTCTAAGTTTAGGGGGTAGGGAAAATGGGAGACGCTAAATGAAACGCAGAAATGACTAAAATGAAACAGGTAGGTTATGTGGTACTTTAGAAGAAATCACTACCCTACAACCAGGACTTCAATGGAAAATTTATTTTTGAAAGAAAGGAACTGTTAAATATAAAGTTAATGCTTCAAGCAGTGAACTATCAACTGGAAGAGAAAGTACCACTTATCTGCTATCAGCATGCTTTTGGAAAATTATTTTGCCTACAATCGAAGCTTTTTAGAGGTTTATAAATTATAAAATGGTAAAAGGCTTGGGGGAAAGGGTTTAGATATCAAATCTTGATTTCTCCATATTTATTCCATTAAAAAAAACCTACTTTAAAAAGATGCAAACTGAGGACAATTTGAAAATAGGGATTAAAAATTTGATTCCTTCTTCAGATTTCTTTTTTAAATTGTAACTCAAGCGTATGCTTTGTGCCAACACATCAGGAAAGAGGGGCAGCTAGGTGGTTGGAGTGGATAGAGTCAGAATCCTCTTCCTGAATTCAAATCTGGCCTCAGACACTACCACTACCTGTGTGACCCTGGGCAGGTCACTTGATTTTGTTTGCCTCAGTTTCCTCAACTGAAAAATGAGCTGGAGAAGGAAATGGTAAACCAGTATCTTTGCCAAGAAAACTCCAAATGGGGTCAAAAAGAGTTGGACACAACTAAAAAGGACCAAACAACAACGAACAGCAGGTTTTCACAGCAGATTTAAGAGATCTACATTAAAGTTGTTTTGAATGTACACACTTACTGAAATCGAAGATTGAATGTTCAGTTAATTTTGTTTAGATATCTTCTTAACAATTATCCCTCCTTTCTGAAAGCTTTGGTCATTTTTTTTTGTGTGTGATCTTAACTGGTTTTTAAATGCAGTCTTCTAAAACATACCACTTGTGTTCTTTCCTACCCTTGTAATGCTTGAAGTTACAAAGACCACCACTTTACCACCATACCCATACTGATTTATGTACATTTGAGCACATTTTCAAAAGTGACGTATGCCCATAAGGTTTGCAAATAACATGGTGGGTGATGGGTATTGATCACTTCATTTTATCTACTAGAAAATGAAGAATGATAAAGGCAAAAAAAAAAGGCAAAAGTAGGAATCTTTCTGAGCAATTTTTATATGCTTTTAATTTGAGCATATGCTCATTGTAAATTATTCAGTTAAAACTGAAAATGAGTCAAAATTTGATTTAGTCCCTAATTCCACTATTAAGAAAAAGTCAAGATTAAGGAGGTTTAAACAAGCTGAAATTACTCTTATCTTAAAAGCTAATTTGGGAAGAATGGAAACGAACAGTTTCACTCTAACCAAAACATTATTTTCCATGACTAATGAATATGAATTTTTCTAAACTAACAAGAAAAAAATGGTTTCCATCTTGTTCTAAGATCAAATTTTAGGTGCTGAGGAAATTCACTCTAATAGTATATAGCCAGAGTTAATATAAACATGGATATAATATTTTAAAAAATCCTGTTTTGTTTCAAAAATTTAGAAATATTAGTTTAATGCACCATACCTTGCCCAGTGTCAGACATAAAATGACATGTTTTCATTCTGACATTTAGACAAAAGATCTTTTACTGCTTATATAGGAGATTTAAGCTTCAGCCTAGTTTTCTTATGCCTGTAGTCTGTTTGAAAGAAAACTGCTGTTTACTAGGATAGACTTTGGATTCTTTAAGAGACACTCTAGAGCTATTGAAGGGTAATTGCCCCTTTCAACAAAATTTTAAATATAAGTAAGTTTACCTTAAGTTTCCTTAAGTTAAAAAAAAAAACCCTGGAGTTTGAATTTTACCAAGTCATTTTATTCTAAGTTACGGCTAACAGGGGTTAGACTTTGTTTATTTTCCATAGTTACTTTACAGTCTCCATCCATTTCAAAATTGAGGTTAACAAAAGAATTTGATGCCACGGCTTCTGGCTGGTCTGTCTGAACAACGGAGTCACTCTGGAGCTGCTTCTGCTGCTCCTGATACTGTTTTTCTGCCTCTTCAGATAATCGATTTTCTTCTTCTTCCTCTTCCTCCTAAAAAGAGATAAAATTAAATGCATGGAAATTTAATGGTGAGATGTTTTCTCTTAACCAAGTAGGTCATGAATAAAAACTGTCACATGGATTAGAAAGAGAAATTACTTCAGCTGTTATCTAGAAAGGTACTTTAGAGCAGGGAATATTTAAGCTGGGCCTTGGAGAATTCATTTAGCAATCCTACATGCAAAGCATTGGGCCAGGCAACATAGACACTACCCTCATGGAATAGTCTTAGTCCAGGGGATATGACACAAACATTCATGTAGTCACATTTGTGTAAGAAAGATAAAAAATGTTATGTGAGGTTAAAGGACCTCCCAAGATTTTAGCTGTGTGACCCTGGGCAAGTCATTCACTTTTCTCAGTTTCCCTCAACCATAAAACATGGATAATAATAGCAACTACCTTCAGGATTGTTGTCAGGATCAAATGAGATAATATTTGTAAAGCGTTTAGCACAGTGCTAGGCACATAGTAATTGATTAATAAATGTTTGTTCCTTTCCTACAAATGGAAATTCCCAGCTTGGTTCAGGGCAAGTTTCAATCCACTCCACAGACTCCCTATTGCTTCTAGTTTCAAATATAAATTTCTGTTTAGCTTTTAAAACTTTTTCACAACCTTGGCCCAACCTCCTTAGACATTATTCCACACTCTTTAATCTGGCCAAACTGGCCTCTGTTTTTCTAACAGAGGACTGTAAATACCTTTCTTCCTCACTTCTGCCTTACAGTATTCCTTTCTTCAAGACAGTCCAAGTACTATCCTACATGAAGCCTTTCTGATTCTCACTTTTGGCTGCTACTGTCCTCCCTCCCAAACTACTTTGTAGTTAACCACTTTCTATTTTTTTGTGATTATTCTGTGTATACTTCTATATATACCTATCTCTCCATGAGCATGTAAGAGAATGACATGAACAAATATGAAAAACAATGTTTGATGGAATCTAGGATGTCTGGAGCATGGTGAATATGAACGGTAGGAGGAGGAGAAATGACTAGAAAGACAGGTTTGTTTCTAGATAGTGAAGAGTACTGAAAGCTAGGCTACGGACACTGGACTTCATCTGGTATGTGAGAGAGTACTAATGATACATGGGAGTAAAATAATCGGACTTATACACAAGGAAGAATAATCTAGCAGTAACTGAAGAGGACACATATGTACTCTAGGACAGCAATATGAAGTAGGAAGGGGACATATTCCAGAGATTATAAAAAGCAATTGATAGCATTTGGTAAATAGCTGGATAAGAGGGGTAAGGGAGAGAAACGAATAATTTGGAGACATTAAAAAAACAAAAAAAACCCCAAAGACCAAGGAATCTTGGGTATAGTGTCCTGTGACAAGTTACATGTCAGGAACTGGAATCAAAGGGGATTCAGTTTTGTAGGGAAAATTCTGAACATACTTTTCTCATGTGAGTGGCAGTAGCAACACTCTTGTAAACAAATGATAATAAAAGACTAGAGCTAGGAAGAAGCTAGGAAAAGACTAGCTAGGAAGAGCTAGTCAGCAGCAATGGCAATACAGAATAAGGAACCATCAATTGTCAGGTTAGGGTGATTTCATAGGAATGAGATTGTAAAATTAAGAATATAGAGATGAGAGAAGGCCAAGGAGAGAACCTAGTGAAACACTTGCCTTAAAGGACAAGAAGTTAAGGAGACTGAAAGAGCAGTTAGAGAAGGAGAAAAAGAACTAGGACCAAATGAAGGGGGGGGTTTGGGGTGCTCCTAGATGCACAGAGGCACCTCAAGGTCACGGGAAAAAGCCCAGATTGCAGCGCAGATCTGCCTGAAAGAATTCGACCCAGATCTTCTTCCAGCCACAGAAAAAGTTTGTTTAAGATAAAGCATATAGGCCAGACTCCAAAGGAACCCAAACATCAGTGATCTAAATGGGAGGTTAAGGTGGTCAGGTGAGGCTCGTAAGGACGAGCAGCATGAGGCAGTCTCAGCCTCTTGGGCATGAAGAAAGCTCAGCATCTGAGTGGGGGCTGGGGGCTAAGGTGGTCAGGCCAGGTGATGCCTGTGAGGACGAGCTGGCATGAGGGTCTCAGCCTCTAGGGGCATGACAAATTCCCAGCGTCTGAATGGGGGCTGGGGTGAAACTTAATACTAGGGGAGGGGTCTAGGAGTGGCCAAGCAGTTTGGAGTGAGGGGAGGCAGGGCCTAGGGAGATCTGGATGGGAGTGGCTAGTAAGCTGGGGTGAACAGAACTCCTGGGTCCTGGACTGCGTGGCGCCTAGCTAGGATTAAGGGTGGCCAGAGGAAGGGGGGGTTGGTTGGGTCTGTTTGGAAGGTAATAAACAATGAGAATAGATAATGAAGGGAGCTGAAAGAGGGGGAAGTTTGCTTTCAAATGGAGATAAAGAGAGAAAACAGAAGCCAGGTTCTTTTTGGGGTCAGGAAGGAAAGTGCATTTCAATAAGCTTAAAAGGTAAGGCTAAGGCTTTCAAAGAGAGAAAAAGAGACAAACAAGAGTCAGGTTCTTTTCAGGGCCAGGGAGGAAAGATGTCAAAGAGAGATAAGTGAGTCTACAAGGAATCTAAAAGTTTTAAGGTTTTTCTGGGAATTGTAAACAAGGAGCCAAATTCCTTTTGAAAAGGGGCAAAATGGAAAAAGGGCAAAGGTAAACCTCTTCACAAATATATCACAGAAATCAAGGGAGGACAGAATATGAATGAGGAGAAAGTGATCAACTTAAATACTACATATGATTGATTGAGAAGTGCTGGGAAAAGGCAAGTCATTTTTGTAGAATGGTGGGGATGTTTGTAAGTCATTAGGTGAATAATTTGTAAGAAGAATTAAATGTAATTTTTTTTGAAGAAGTTTGGTGGAGAGTGCTAAGAATAAATCAATAATAATTTATTAAGCATTTATAGGCACTGTGTGAAGCACTGGGGATAGACAGAAAAATTAAAAAGTCTCTACCTTCAATGTGTGTGTATACATAACCAGTAAATAAAAGGTAAACGGAGTAGATGGAAAGTGTCCCTAATAGAATGTTCAATGGTGTATCAAATGTGTTTTGAGGTTTTTTTTTTTTTTTTGGAAAATGAATGGGAAGGCTTATAGACAGATGGAAAAGAACTAGTGAAAAGAAAGAGATTACTGGTGAAGAGGTTTACCTACCCAGAAAAACCTTAAAACTTTTAGACTCACTTATCTCTCTTTGACATCTTTTCCTCCCCGGCCCCTAAAAAGAACGTGGCTTCAGTATCCTTTACCGGTCCCACAAAACCCTTAAAGTTTTAGAAACTGCCTTATTTCCCTTTAAAAGCCCTTTGAAAGCCCTTTGAAAGCAAACTTCCCCTTCCAGCTCCCTTCATTACCTATTCTCATTGTCTGTGGAAATTCTCACCTGGACCCTTTTCCAAATGGCTCACCTCCCCCCTTCAACTGGGCTTTCCCATTGTTTCACCTTCCTGTCGCCTTTGGCCATTCTCACCCTTAATCCTAGCTAGGTGCCAGTGTTCCCTTTGCCCCAGCTTGCTGCCCACCCCCATCCAGATCTCCCTAGACCCCTCCTCCTGTCACTCCAAACTGCATGGCCCCTCCCCCAGTCTGTACTTAAGACTCACCTTTCCCCCCATTCTGATTCTGAGCTGTTCTCAAGCCTAGAAGCTGAGACCCCTCATGCCCGCCTGTCCTCACGGGCATCACGTGGCCTATCCGCCCCAGCCCCCACTCAGATGCTGGGAATTTCTCATGCCCCTAGAGGATGAGACCCCATGCCCGCTGGTAACAGGTGTCACCTGGCCTGACCACCTTAGCTCCAGCCCCGACTCAGACGCTGAGCTTTCTAGACTGCCTCACCTGACCACCTTAAACCCCATTTAGATCACTGATGTCTGGGTTCCTTTGGAGTCTGGCCTATATGCTATATTTTTAATAAACTTTTTCTCTGGTTGGAAGGAGATCTGAGTTGAATTCATTCAGGCAGATTTGCGCCGTGATTTGGGCTTTTCCCCACGATCTTGGGGTGCCTCTGTGCATCTAAGAGCACCCCAAAAACCCCCACCCTCTTCACTGGAACCATGGGTTCAAGGAACCAAGGTAAGATAATAGGGAGATGAAAATAGGGGGGTATGATACCCATCTTCAAGTATTAGAAAGGCTGCCATATGGAAGAGTATTAGACTTCTACTTGGCCCCAGGAAGCAGAACTTTGGCGCAACAGGTGGAGATTACAAAGAAGCAAAGTTAGGCATAAGATAAGGAACAAAATCCCAATAAACAATTAACCAAAGGTGGAATAGGCTGGCTCTGGAGATGTGGGCTCCTTTACTTTGGAAGTCTTCAAACAAAAACGAAGGTAATCAAAACATTTAATTAAGTACCTGCTAACAATAACAATAGCTAGCATTTAAAGAGTGCTTTAAGACTCTTTAAGTCTTTAAGTTATCTCATTTGATCCTCACAACAGCCCAGTGCAGTAGGTGCTATTATCATCATCTTTTTTTGGTGGTTGTTCAGTACTTTTTCAGTCTTGTCCAACTCTTTGTGACCCCATTTGGGGTTTTCTTGGCAAAGATTTGCAAAAGATAGGCAAACAGTGATTTGCCATTTCCTTCTCTAGTTCATTTTACAGTTACAGAAACTGAGGGTTAAGTGACTTGCCTAAGGTCATACAGCTAGTGTCTGAGACCAGATTTTAACTCAGAGAGATGAGACTTCCTGACCCCAGGCTTGGCACTCTATCCATTGCCCCACTTTGCTGTCCCATCTTCATTTTATACTTTTTTAAAAAAGGAATTGCATTAATCTTTCATTTATATTTTTATGTGATAAGGAGAATTTGGGGGCTCTATGGTGATGTTCCCTAGCAGCCTCTTCTTCTTCTTCTTCTTCTTCTTTTTTTTTTAGGCAATTGGGATTAAGTGACTTGCCCAGGGTCATACGGCTAGTAAGTGTCAAGTGTTTGGTCCGAGGCTGGATTTGAGCTGTCCCCAGCCTCTTCATTATCATCATTTCTCTGACAAG